TTTGTTAATTTTTTTTGATTGATTTCTTATGTGATTACGTAGTTAAATTTAATTAATAACTTTTAGTGAAAAAAGGGATAAATATTTGTGGTAAAGACTGATGTAGGAATTATAAGAAGAAACTAACACGTAAAGCGTTCACTCCTAGTTTAAATTACGCTACGTATATATAACGGTTATAAATTTACTTAACAAAATACTTCTAAAGAGTGACTTCTTACGAAAACGTATAAAATAGTGCAAGTCGGTACAGACACTGTACTTGGTGCAACCAAGAAAGTTTTCTTTCCAGGTAAAACATGACCACATGCCCGAGCTTCTCCTTATCATGGTTACAATGACCAAAGTCTTCGTAAGGTGATTTATATCACTTAAAAAATAAGATTACATCGAAGCAACATGTATAAAGGACGTTATTTAGTGATTAATGACAGTGCGCAAAAATCTAAGTCTTCAATTGAGGATGTAGCATATCAGGTAACATTATATTATATATATATATACTACTGAATTCGATCAGCATCAATGTGCACTTGAAGAAGTTTGAAAATAATCAAGACTTTACAGTAAATAAATTAAGTACACATCATAAAAAACTGCTACGAAAGAAAAGAGAACCTACAAAAGCAAAACGGGTCCGATCCGTCAAAATACACTACATTTAACTTCTTTTCCCTAGAATTCCAAAAGGGATGTCCTTTTTTACCTCCAGAGTGCGTCCTCCTTCCTATCACTTTTAGCACCCCAAGTTTTATTTTTAAAAAACAGTCCTGGCTCCAGAGCGACATGAAAACAACTATAAGCTTTGTCATGTCTTTTTAATCTCTCAGTTTTTTTCTGAAGTGTACAGTGTTACGAGCTTTATAGGAACAAACAATTTTTTTAGTCGTTATACTTTAAAATTCATTGACATAGGGGGTTCTTGAAAAAATTAATCTGCCTCCCTCCGCGCGGGGGAGGCCTTTTAGGTTGTTAAGATCGCGAATTTTTACCCGCCACACGACCTTCGCCGAATTAATACATCCCTTTCCTTAATAGGTAGTAAAGAGAATAAGCTAATAATGGGAATAGGTGCATTAGCAGCCAACAGAGTTATACCTCTGACGTGTTCGACTTAGGGCCTCTGCAAGGCCTCGGGCGGGGCGGCGCAGGAATGTATCCAATGTTGGGAACATCAAACATTAAGGGCTTATCCTTGGAATTCGACGTAAAACTTTTCTATGTATGATGTAGGAAATGCTTAGAAAATATATTTAAGTCCAGCAGCGGTGGACGGTTTTTATTTAGTGACCCCCCCCCCTACCCCTCAAAGAAATAGCAAAGAGGTGGAAGTGCCCAAATGAGGGGCTATTCGCCGAATAAATATTTTGATCAGGTACGAAGCCCCCGAAAAAAAAATGGGAATAGAGTGGTAGGGTGGAGAAGAAGATAGACCTCTTGTTCGTGGATTTTACCAAATTTGTGATAGCAGGAAGTGTGAGGTGGCATTGCTTGCAAGAATGGGGGGGGGGACATGCTGTGAACGAGGGGGTGGTTTAGAAAAACGTCCCTACTGGTAAAATATTTTGCTTAACATTCACAAAGCATGAATTGCATGAGAAGTGGTCTTGTGAAAATACCCGTTTAAATCTTTATATGAGATTGAAAAAAAATTAGGACGTTTTTTTAGTACGGTTGCTATTACGGATGAATGAATATGCCAAAATTAGGTCCAAAGTTTCGGAATCTTTTTGAAAATTTAAACCGTACTTCTTACCTACAAGCCTTATTTTATTAATTTAAAGGAATTAGAAATCATTAACGGCTTGCTTCGTTCCTTACAACTTTTTTATATTTTCTTCGAGTTTGATTCATTTGTGGATAGACACTCATTTTTCTTTCATTTTCTAACATGCCATCTGAAGACCAGATCCGCGCGGATATTGACACGAAGCATCATAAGGAAATAGATACAAGTGGTCAGAAGCATGACAATGAATTCGAGTACAGCTCCAGCTTTGTCGTTGATTCTTCAGTATTATTAAGTGAGATAAGACGCATTGAAAATACTACAAGAGCAATTTCTCGAGCCCTTGCTGCCATGACGACATGCAATGAAAATGAAGAAATATTATCCAGAACCCCAGATCTCTGCAACGATCTTGAGGACAATGAGAAAGCGTTATTTTCTCCCATACCTGACTATGTGGCTCAAATAATTGACGCTGAAAAACAACGAAGACTGAAAATGAGCCAAAAGACACAGCCACATGATGAATGCCGTCAAACTAAGGTTTCTGTTCCTCCAAGGCTTTCTGGTGACGGTAGGGCCTATGTTGATCCGAGTGTCCCTCTTCCCTTGCCCTACGATGCCAGACGTGACTATAAAGGACCTTTAAGAAAAAATCGCGCGAGAGGCACTTATCATGACTTATTCTATGGAGACAGATCTGAATGTGTTTTTGCACCACCACAGGATAACAAACGCATTCAAATAGAGCAAAAAAAAAATTCCAAGCCAGTGCCTTCCAACGCTAAGCCTCCGAGATACGAGCCGACCCCACGGAAGACAATGAAAGTGCCAAAGGACTTAGCTCCTACTTGTGCTTATCGTAAAAAAGCTGACCCACACGATGAAATATAGTGAGCAGTTTTTTCGCCCAGGTATCTAATAGCGCTCCGACGTTATTGAACTTGTCTCGCTCATTTTTTTTTTGTACCTGTGTTGTACTGAAATCTCGCTTTTGATCTTTGTCAATATTTGTAGTCTTTTTTTTTGAATCGATTGGTATATATATGTATATATGCATATATTTATTTACCATTTTTCAAAATAAAACTTCCTAGATACCTTCCATTGAATTAATATACTAACATTAACATAATTTACAATGATGTGGAGGAAAAATGCCCATTATTCTGATCATTTACTCAGGTCTTTCTCCTACACAATCCTATTCGTAATTTTTTTTAATTAAGAAATTATACCTCCCTAGATTTTCTATGAGTGTCAAGTATGTTTCGTCCTTACCGGAGCTGAGGAGCCTAATCGGTAAGCCTTGTTTGACGGTGGTTGACTTTTTTGCAACATGGTGTCCTCCATGTCAATCAATATCTCCTCATATAGATCAGTTGGCAAAGTGTAAACCTCATGTTAGTATCTGTAAAGTGGATGTTGATAGAGCTCCTGATATTATGCAAACTTACCCTGTAAAATGTATGCCAACGTTTTGCTTTTTCAATAATGGAAAACTCTTAGAAACATTTGAAGGTTCCGACATAGGTGAAGTAACGAGATTGGTTAATCAATATGAAGTTAAACCAGCACCTCAGATACCATCTGAAGAGGAACTAACCAAGATGCGACCACGGGAGCTACTTTCTTTGATGAAGCTTCTTCACATAAGCTCAATAGGTCTAACCGAGAAAAAAGATTTAATCGACGAAATAAACAAATATAGGTGATATTTTATGGTGTATTTACTTGAAAAACGATGTTTCAGTTGTTGTACTTTTTTATCGCTTATTTCTATTTCTTTCCTTACATTTTTTACAAGTTTTCTGAAACTTCAGATCCTTCTCTATTTGTTAACATATTTTTATTTATTTATGTGTGAATAATTTATCTTTGTTTTCCGCCTTGATTATTTTTCTTAGATTTTATTTCAAAATCATATCATTCTTATTGGAATATAACATTGTGAAGCACCAGTTTTTTCTTAATCATGTTTGGAATAGATGAAAATGAAGCAAAAGCTCTTTCGAATCAATACAACTTTGGCCCATTAGAATCAGCAAACAATCGAACTAATCTGCGAAGGAATCACAATTCCACTGATGAATTGCATGAAGAAGTGACAGTAAAAGAAGAGGATCCCGAAGCCTTCTCTCCGAAGGAGAAAGGAGACAATATGCAAAATTGTGTTCCTTATTATACCTTGGAAAATGATGGGTCTAAGACTCCACCAAAGTCCACATCGGGGATGAATTCTAATAATGAACACAAACATGAGAGCAGGTTGACTGCAATGATGGCAACATTGGGGGTAAAAGCTGAATCAAAGACGACTTCGAAAGAGGACCCAAAACGTGTTTCACTTGAGCGACGATGGAAGAAAACTTTGGCTGAAGAAGTACGCCTCAATGAACTGGAAAGACGCTTGGACGAGGCTGAGCAACAAAATCACGGGCTAGAGCACGAGCCGAATTTTCCTCGAAGGTTCTTATTCATAAGGCCTCTAGTGTACTACAGTTTGGATATGGTTCCTGAGTCACGAAGAAGATTTGTTTCTATTGCGTACTGGAATTGGATTGCACTCATTATTTTATTAGTTGTGAACGCTGTTGTTTGCATTGCTGTTCCATATGCACCTTTGAAACATGACAAAACTAATGATATCGATAAGACATGGAACATATTTTTTGCGTTGGCGTCCCTTTTTGGTATCCCGTTAAGCTTTTTTGTCTGGTTCTGGCCTGTTTATCGATCTTGTTCAACAGGTGATCCCTCGAAGTATCATATGGCATTTTTTGGACTTTTTATTGCATTGGTTCAAGCGCTTATTGGCTTTTTTGGTCCTCTGAGTCTTGGCATGGGTGGCATTTTTCTATCTGTTAACATCTCTCAAACGCGTTCTCAATTATATGTAATACCTGTAATTATCGTACTCTTTCTGTGGTTTTTTGAATCTATAGTGCTTTGCTTTATTGCGTTTAAGCTTTTTATCTTTTACCGCAAGGATTTACATGCGCGGAGGATAGTACGTCGGCAAGTTGCGAACGTTGTTGGGTTATAGTAAGTACAATTAAGTATTTATGGCATAGAATTGCCCTTTAGTTATTTACTTTTAGCTTGCTGATCTTATAGAATATCAGATATTCTATAGTGAGATAATTTTATTTCCATTCACCTTGTTGCTTTTCTTTTTAATTTTTATGGGAAATATATTCAATATATTCTCGACGATATGGTTGCGTCGGAACACTGGATTACTTTCTATACCTAATGTATCGCAATATACTTGATTATCCTTTCTCAGACTTGGTACCACTGGTATCTTCTAAGCGCTCCGTTTGACAGCCGTATGGGTTTCACTAATTAAGGATTTTTTGACTTAATACAACGTTACAAGCTAATTACTCCCATTATTATGATGTTAGAGTTTCAATATTTGAAGCTTTTTAAAATATTGAAACAGTAATACTTCGGGATTACGCTAGATAATATTTAGAACCTAACAATGGACTGAGGATTTGTCCTTTTCCATAGTTTTGGTAAAGGAATTCTTATTTATCTATCAGAATCAAAAGTTTATTAAAGAAATGATTGTGATACCCTGAATCTGAGTTAAGAGGGATAGAGTGTGTGATTTCAAAGTGTGTGGTTGCACTACTGAAACATTTTCCATTTTGCTTTTTGCAGTAAATGAGCTGACAAACATCACTAATGTTTTTTAATCCAAATATTTTAAGGCAAGGCTTCGTTAGTCGTACGTATAATTGGAAGCAACATACACATGATTTTATGGAATGAAGGCAAAGTAGAAAGGGTTCAACTTTAATTGTGTCCCGCCTGCTCTCTTTTAAAGAGAAAAAATCTTTATATCAAGCTTCATTTCCTTTCCTGATTTTTTTCTCGATAATCGTGTTGTAAACTATTCTTTGCTTATTTTTATTTCTGTGATTGCGATTATGTTATTGTATATACATTTTTTTTTTATGCGGTCAAGAATGATATGAGGGACCGAACAACGTATGGTCTAACACAGATAATATGGGGCATGTGTGCTACAAGTTCACATCTGAGTTCATAATACAAAAAAGTTTATATTACCAGGCCTCAAGTTACTAGCTCAAGTACCTGCAATAGTTTTTGGTATTTCTCCCCTTTTTCTCATTAATTTTGCTGAAAGTATTTACTGCATCCAAAATATAACTAAAGGAGCAAATAGTTCAAGTACAACCAATTAGTCGATTTGATACAGGTATTTTCGAGATCAAAGAAAGAGGCAATATATATAGGCACTATTATGCACTCTAGAGATTCTAATCATCAGCCTTCTGTTGCTGGCTCATCGAAAACACTTTCAGTGGACAAAGATAAGTATGAGCTTGTGTATGCTTTGGTGTCTTCCATGGGCGTGTCACAGCACAGTAGGCTTTCTTCTATTTATCAACTTCTTTCTAGTGTAGTGCAGTCTGCTCGGACGGTGGTAAAGGGAACTGATTCCCAGAGACGGTTTAGTGCTTGCTTTTCGGAGCTGTGTCGTGGGGCCTTAATGGGGTTGTCGGATCTTGAGGACTCTGTTTTTGAGCTGAGAAACCCTGGAAAAAATGCGTCCGATGCGACAGACGATGAGGTCATGGGTATCAGTGAAGTTGCCCTCGTCAAGGAGCTGTCTGCTTATGTGGCGTCGCACACATCCGCATTAACCGCGCAGTATCTTGAACGTGTCGGTTTGAGTGTTCTTAACAAGCATAGTAATCCGGGCAGCAGGAAGGGTGGGGCCTCATCGTCCTGGGGAATGTCGGATAACAATGACAATCGTAAGAAGCGTGTCCGCTCTACTGGAGAGATCGCATTGGAAGCTAATCGTAAGCGATCAAAGCAGTCAAATCAAGGGATTTCTCTTCATGATAAAGTGGCCGTGGGGGGTTCAGGTCCAATTAGCGGTCACCACGCCATGCACGCTGCGTTTGACGACTTGGGCCTCCTGAAGGAAGATGAAACTATGATCCGGTCGACAATGGCGACAACGACGTCGAATACCAACGCCACGTCAGGTTTAACGTTTCATATGAAGACAGCAGACGGCACCTCAGGGCTATTACATTCCTCCACTATTGCATCCCACATGCCCATTTCTGCCCCTTCAAAGCAGTCATTATTTTTATCAAGTGATGGTACGAAAGCATTTGACTCGAGTATTAGTCAGCCTAATTTACGAGCTATACCTGAGTTTGATTACTACCTCCGTCCGTGGACAATGCCAGCGCCAAAGGGCGTCCTGGATCGGGTTACGTTGGAGAAGGAAAGGCATACTTCATCAATGACCTCTTTACCAGTCGCGGGAATTGCTGCGGATGATTCCCACGTGGATTCAAAACTACAGCACGGGCTAATACCTACATTGGAAGTGTGCTTTGCTGCGACGCCTGGGGAGTTACTTAGTCGATTGGAAAGGCGAGATGCGGCTTTGTCGTCTATGGCCTTCTGCATGCCATGGGTAAATAGTGATGACCAGCAGGGATCTGGTCGACGTAGGAATCAAGTCCCGTTTTCAGCAATGGAACCACGTTCCTCTACCGATCTTGCGTCGCGTGTTGAGGTAAATGACGAAATGGAGAAGGAAGGCGAGACAGCTAGAAGGAGCGGCAAAGAGGAATGTATGAAAGGGGAAGGATTTATCGAGAAGCCTTTCTTTCCCTCGCCAATGTGCGCCTCCAGCGCAGTGCCTCTGACCGTTTTAAAGGACTTAGTGTTTAATGGCATATCAAACATCGATTTTATTCACTATTCTTAAAAAATTCATCATTAAACAAAAGCTCACACCCACACTGGGACCTGGTCTTTGGTTAAATTTTGCGATGTACGTGTGTCTGTCTGATATGTTTTGGTCCATCCCCCTTATTCTTTAGTATCTATTTTTAATTTTTCTTTTCATCTTTTGTTTAAACACCCTATTAGTTCGTTTAGAGATGTTTTCTCAAAATTAAAGATAAAAGCTTATATTGAGTTTTCTAAGTGCATCTTGTTGTTCTGGCAGTATCTTCTTTTTTACGTTGAAATTGCTTTCTTTAAATTGGAAATATGATTTCTGCATGCATTTTGACGAACTATGTATAAGGCTTCTCTTCATCTGCAAAAGCTGATCGAGTGCTACGTTTCCTATTCATTCGACTTTAGTGTTTGCAAGCTGCTTCCCACTTCCTGTGTTGAAGGAGATAGCCACCGAGATAATTCTTCGGTTGCCGTTTACACCGCTCAACAGTACCTTGAACACTTGCCGTACCTGCTTCAGGGCTCATCTGATCTTAGATACAATGAGATTAGCGAAGAGGAAAAGCAGTTTATGCTTTTCCTTTCTAGCGTACTTTTAAGAGCATTGAACCAGCATGCCTTGCGATGCTGTGGAGAGACTACGAGTGGCAGCGATGCTACAGGCAAGCGAAGCACATTTATTGTGTGGATGGTGTTGTCAATTTATTCACATTTTGCGCAAGATGCAGAGAGGCGTTTTCCCAACTGGGATCGAGTCGAAAACCTGAAGGAGGCAGTGTTGACTAGCTCGTTAAAGGCGCGTTACCGTGTGCTCGCCGAGTGGGTCAAAAAGCGCTACTCTCAGAAGCGAGATGACCCAGCCTTCGCAGAATTACTAACCCTGCCTAAGCAGGCACCCCAGCAGCCAGGGGTTGATCCTGGTATGTTTGGAGGATTTTCTTCGCAAGTACGGGATGCGGAAGAGAACGAAGAGGAGGCGTTGTGGTCCGAAGTGGAAACCCTTTTTCATGGGGAAAAGGGTGAGCTCACTGACCCTCTTGCTTTGGATAAAGATCTTTTTTATCATTTTTTTTTGGATTATATCGATCCTGTGCTCCGAAGATATCCGAAGCAGAGACCATTTGCATGCATAGTTCCCTTCCCGCCACTGCAAACCAAGGATTCTGATGCATGGTCCAGGGAATGCCTTGAGTATGCCAAATGTCAGTTCAAGGTACATCCCCTTTCGCCAGAAGCTTCAATCCTTGACGCGGTGGTGGCGGCTACAGCATACACTTTGCCTTGTTTAAAACAGGCCAGGGATTTTTTGGAGTATTGGGAGGAGCGATATACGAAATGGGTTAGCTGCCAGTCGGGCAGGCACACTGCCGTTGACGACATACACCTGTCAGCAAAAGAAATGCAGATGTCAGGCGAATCCTTGCCTAGTCAACGTTCTAGCATTAAGTTCGCTATGGAGTACACAAGTTCTCTTTACCAAGCCCTGACGGTGGCGCATGGCGCAGTGCAGCTGATTCCCTCATCCATTCATGCTGAGGAGATCGAGGGGAGTGCCTTTTCCGAGGTGTCGTCTGCACCTTCCCATCTCTGCGGTTCTTGGCTCTCTGCGGCGGCGGCCACATTCTCTAGCTGCGTGCAGCGCTACCGCCTTTTGCACTCCCCCCGTGTGTGTGTGGTGTTGCCCGGCCTGGCCATCGCCGCGGTAGAGATTGTCAGCGCTTTCCTGCGGAGCACAGGGTCGTGCGGGCGCGCGGACGTGCCGTTCCCGGACGCCATCACGGCGACTGGAACGATGTTGGTTAGCCCGCCGTCGGCACGGCAGGCGCTCGTCCCCCCAAACCCACCATTCCACAGCGAGGGGGCCGACTGGCGGACGGGCGACGCGCCCGCGGACCGGGCGAATGTGCGCGTCCTCTCCTCAACAGCATTGCATCCTTCCTCATGTTTGATATTACTACGCCGCTTGCCGGAGTTCACCCCGCCAAATGGTGAGGGTACGCTAGGGGATGATCCGACTCTAGGGCAACCGGCGAGAAAAAGTTCCGGGGGCTGTGGGGCAATTCCCTCACTCAAAATGAGCGATCTTGCGGCCGTCGTTGGGGGTGTTCGGGAAGGGGTCGTGCTGATTCTGGTGGAGGTGCACATTGGGAAGCGGGAGCAGCGTTTGATGGAGGGATGGGGGACGGGCTCCCGCACGGTGGTGGTCGTTGGATCAATTGGGGAGTGGGGCATGTCTCAGCTAAGCCTGCGATGGCGCACGGTTCCAAACACGCCCTACACCGAGCCCAGCATGTTGCGTTGTATACGAGACGGTAAGGCGGGCGTGCTGCTATACCCCCTCGACGAAATGGATGTTACGGTGCCGCACGACGAGAACACAAAGGGCTTCCGTAAGCGCATGACACTTGACGTCGTGGAGCGCCGGACGCGATGGCTTGTGGTCATTGGCGAATGCCAGAGCACCGATCGAATGCGTCCCTCGAGGGACGTTCAAGTGGATAGGACCTTTTCCATGTCCGCACCTATAGATGATAGCGAGTCTGACACTACTTCCTCTGCTTCTTCTGAAAGCACAGCAACAAATTCGTCGGGTTCAAGTGCACAGTACTCAGATGATGCTATGTGTAAGGATTCGCCACCTTTACCTTTTTCCAGCCACGTGGTATGCAGTGTTGTCGTTGGTGGGGCAGTGGATGCACTACAGCGTAGTGGATTGTTGATGGCCCGTGTGGTGCGACAGCATCTTGTTCATCGCGCTGTGCTCCCAGCGCGACTCGGGGGCCTACTACTAACTACTGATGGCCGTGTGGAGCTAAGTGTGCTGGATCGCGTGAGACAGCTGCGGACTACCATTTTTCCTTTCACTGATAAGCCCGTGGGGGATGTCAGTGACAACATCCAACCTGAGGCTAAAGTGCTTTTTCATGCCCGTATACTAGAGGCGATGGAGGCAGGTTTACAGAGCTACCTTCTGTTGTGCGTGCAGCATGATTTATGTCTTCGGATCGAGGAGGCATGGGGATGGCTAAACCAGGTCCGGATGTCGGATACCGCCAATATTATGAGTGATACGAATGAATTGCACAGCGATGCGTGCGCATTTACTTCGGCGAATACTGTGAATACAGATGATGGAGCTGACGTGGCTGGAGAGGTTTACTTCACAGTGCGAAGTGCCTATCTGACGATTGCGAGCTGCTTGGATGAGCTGTGCCATACCGCTCTGCTGGGATCGCATCCCTCCACGAAGGCGTCATCGCGTAAAAGGCCCACTTTAGGAGATTTGTATTTCGTTCCCTTGATCGAATGATGACAATGTCAAGGGAACTCTTCAAAAAGGGGTAAAACCATCTGCGAACACCACATTGAACTTTGTGTGTTAGTCTATCACATATTTGGTATGATAAGAAACTGATGTTTCCTTGTATGACTCGCAATAATTATTGCTGTTGCAGCGAACTTTTTGTTTCTCTAACCTCCACACCATTTTTTTCTCTACTTTTATCTCGCATCTTTCCCAACTGCGTCGATTGTCGTATAATTTGGAGTGGGAATATTTGAAATAAGGAAGAATGACTTCAGGATTTTAGATAAATAAGGAAAGGTCTTTTAGGTTCCCGATGTAAAAGTGTTTAGGCTAGATAAGCGCTAGCAATGTTGAGTCGGGTTTCATTTCTCTTGGGCGGCGTTAGGAAGAAGGCCCTGTCGGATGCCCTGAGTCATGCTTCATAAGTGTGGCAAAAAGGGAAAAACACCTGCGAAACGGAAGGTAGCTTAAAAGCTTAGCTATAATAAGAAATGAAAGCCTCAGGCTTTAAGCTACTGAAAGTTAGTTTATCTCTCAAGGTTTGATGCTTTTTATATCTCCAGCTTTTAGCTTCACCAGAGAAAGACTACCAATATGTAGCGCTCCATTGAAGTGGCGGGCATTTACCACCTATTCCTCCCATTTTTTTTAAATGTTAGAATGACAATATTAAGTGTATCATTATGTAGTTTGAGAAGAAGTGTTCTGGTGTCAGATAGTTCTTCATACGATGTTCTATTTTTTCTTTCAACCTATGTAAAGCTGCGTTGCCATACTAATTCCATGGGGGAATATATGTTTGGAGATAGCTACTTCTTGTCATTCTTATTGTGAAGTCTATATATCAGGTGTGCATTTTTAGCCACTATCGTATTACAGCATATAAGCCTAACGAACAATTAGAAAGTATTCTAAAACTTAAAAAGGAATAGGTGGTTCGACAATTAACCTTGAACAATTTTAAACATGGATATTTCCAAAAAGCTATGGGCCGCTAAGGAGTGGGCGCGCGTCAAAGCTGGTGGCGATGAGTTTGTGACTCTTGTTCATGAGGCGACGAACGAGGACAAGTGGGGGCCAACAGGCAAACAGATGGAGGATGTATGTCGTGCCTTCCCCCGGGGCGCGACAGAAATTATGGACGAGATCGTGAGGCGGCTTAAGCATCGTGATAAGCTATGGAGATCATGCTACAAGGCCCTCCTCCTGCTCGACTACTTGGCTCGTAATTTGAGTGATAGCTACTTACCAGAAATATGTGCTTTGGTACCGCTCTTGCGGACCATTTCTCAAAGTTTTTACTATACCAGCGGGAAAGGTATCGACCACGGCATTTCTGTTCGAGAACGTGCGAAGAATCTAGCGGACCTCCTCAGTGACGGTCTTCTGTTGAGGCAAGAGCGTGAGAAGTCCGCCCAAACCAAAGCTAAGCTCGCTCAAAACATGCCGAATGGTAACACCCTACGGATGTACGGAGGAGGTCGCTACGAGGAAAGCTATGGAGGACAATCTCGTCCATACTCGACAGGGGGGAGGGGCGGTTATACCGGCTACGACCCGTGTCGCGATAACTTCAATCGATCACCACAGGTCTTACGCACAAAGTCTGAGCAGGAGCTATTTGATCTGCAGATGGCGATGCGCTTACAGCGCGAGGAAGAACGCCTCTCGGGGATGTCGGCCAGCCAGATCGAGAAAATGTACTACAAAGGTAATCCCAATTTTCAATCGGAAGGCCCTTCAAACCAAGGGCAGTCGTATTCCAAGGATTATGAGCTGGCTTGCCGCCTCCAGGAGGAGGAACATCGGAAGGCGGAAAGCCAAGAGACATCTTTGCGGGATGTGGACACTAAACCGGCCCCACCCGCCGCCGCCACTGCGTCCAAACCCACGGATAAACCGGGGCCGACGAACCCCGCCCCTCCGGCGGTGAACCAAAGCAACATCCTTGACGATCTCTTCGCGCCCTCGACGGCTTCTTCTGCGGCGCCGCAGGGCGTGGATGGCCTCTTTGGCGCCTTCCCCAGCGAGGGGAGCTCGCCGCAGGGGATGACGGGGGGGGCGGCGCCGCCCGCAAACGCGTGGGGGCAAGGGGGGGCGGGGACCCCGTGGGAGACGTCCGCGGCGCGCGCGAACGTGTGGGGGCCTCCTCAGGGTGGGGCACCGCCGTCGAATTACGCGGGGGGGCCTCCTCCGACGGCCTCGGCTCCCGCGAACGTGTGGGGGCCTCCTCAGGGTGGGGTGCCACCGTCGAATTACGCGGGAGGGCCTCCTCCGACGGCCTCGGCGCCGCAGTTATCGGCCTGGCAGTCCCTCTCCACGACGCTCCCCTCGGCCGGGGAGAGCGGCCTCCAGTGGGTTCAGGCCCCCATGCCGGTGCAGCCCCAGCCGCCCTTAGACGCGAGTACATCCGCCCCTCAAGAGGCACGTGGGTCTGGTAACATGCCGACTTTTCCGTCATTTTAACTGAGGAATGAGTAGCATTGGGGCTTCTAATGAATACGACATTTAAGAGTCAGCAGATGAAGACATTGAGTTTTTTTATTGGTTTATTATTCAAGGGTACCTGTTTTGCGCGAATCTGTTCGTACATCCATTGTCCAGTATGCAGTCTGCCAAAAACACCAAACGGGTGAGTAGAGAGGCACACATGATGGTCCGTGTAGTTTATTTATCCAAGAAGTATTTTATTATTGCTGTTAAATTTGTTGTCTTCCTTTATTGAATTGCTGTACATTTGTTCTTTTTAGAGCCTTATATATTCTACGTATTATTTTTGATGTTATGAACTAAAAAAATGACGCAAAAAGTGTACCCTATGCCTGTTTATTATTCTTATTTTGTGTGCGTCTTACTTGAGCCAAAAAACCTTGATCATATACCTTTTGTAAGTTTTGTTACACTAAACTTTAACATTCTTTCTGTTCTCTTCTATGTATGCCGCTCGTTCATCTGCATATGGATCATTGTATTCTTCGTACTTCATACGTTTCATTTCACTTTGTTTTAAATGCATGTGTGTGTGTGTGTGTGTCTGTGAAGATGAAGATAGGGATCTAAATCAACAAACGTCGAAAATACAACAATATTAGCAACATACAACAGAAAAGACTCAAATAGGGAGGAGGGTAGAATAAATCATAGACTTATTTCATGCTTCGCCTCTCAGCTGTGGTGCGGGGTCATGCCACTTCAAACCTTTTCGCACCCCCCCATTCTGGACGGTGGTTCAATCCCCCACATCAGTGGACGATTAGCGACACTTTTGTGCCTATCTTCTTCATGTTCTTTGCGCCCATGCTGATTACAATGTACTTGTACCACGCGGCCTACATGCCACAGTATTCACATTTTCAGGATAAAAACTACTACCCGTCTCAGCCATACACTAAGGAATTTATTCAGAAGTATAACCGACTCGAACGATGGCGTTGGTACTAAGATGTTGTTTGATACAGGTAAACCAACAGAATCATCTATTTATGGGATTATATGCCACGAGAAACTCGGGGCGTGGGAAGAAGGGTGATCATTCATCTTGAGGATTTTTCTCCCGCTTTGCGTAGTGTAGGGGGACATCGAATTGTATTGAGCACTGCTTCTTTTCCTTTAGATTTGCTTTCATGAGAAAGGCAAATAGAATGAAGCAATAGCAAATGTAGTTGTTTTAGGTTAGCATTGTTTTATCTTTGTACATTGCAGTAGTAGTATTAGCACTCTGTGTTTTTTTGGTATGATTATGTTGGGTTTAACATTTGCTTCGCATTGGAGAAGGATTTAGAATGGTGATGGGTTCTCAATAACGGCATGCGGATCCCTCATTCTATCTTTACAGAAATGTTTTTCTCTGATGATGTGTTACTACGAATTGTGATTCTTAAATAGAGCTCTATTACTATTCTCTTTATTCCATAAATTCCTTTTCCCTTTCTTTGCCTAGACACACGCCTCCCCTTTGTGTTTCTCCTCGCTACGCGGTTGTCGGCATGAGCTTAGAATGCGAAGGCCGCGGTACGGTCTGCGAGGAGTGCAATTACTTTGACTTTCTCCCCACCCGGTGCACCTCCTGCGGGGGGATGTTCTGTGGGGCGCACGCGACGCGGCATCACATCCCCCCCTCCCTCATGTCATCCGATCCTTTCCGCACGGGGCCTTCGTCCTCAGACGCGGCGGAGAGGCCGTGGTGCGCACCGTCCCCCCCTCCGCTTGCCTCCACGATGGAGGCCGCCATGGCCCCTGTGAGGCCCCCTCCTGATGAGGCCCTCCGGGGGTTCCTCTCACGCCTCCACGGGGATGTCAACGGCGAGGAGGCGCGCCGCGCCGCGCGTCGTGTTGGCTGCGATCGGCCTCCCCTTGTCCTCTCGCAGCCCTCTCTTACAGGGATGCTCCTCACCCCTCCAGGCTATGGGGGCCGCCTGATCGAACTCGTCGTGATTCTCGCGCGACCCCGCCGTGGCGACGGGGACGACCCCGCGGCGGGGGGGTGGGATTTGGACGTCGGCCGCCCTTCCGTTGCGGCGGAGTCCACCCTTGGACAGGTCGTCGAGCGCAGTCTCGGCCTCCTGAGGCTGCCCAGAAGGCCGCCAGATGTGGGGGAGGGGTGGGTCTCGCACGCCACCCTCTGGCGGATTGTCTCTCATAATGATGAGGCCGTAGTTGCGGAACAAACACGGGTAGGTCCGATTGCTTTTCCTGGTGGGACTCCAAGCCTGAGACTGATTCTACAATCCCCTGCGACGGTCGCGAGAGATGCGCTTCACTCCGGAGACGCGGTGGTTTTGCTTGCCACCGATTCTCCAAACGACTACGCGGGGAACTCGGCCATTTCGTCGCTCTTGGACGCACTGGTGGATTTATTTTTCCCGCCACATCGCCGTTATTGTGAGTTGGCAAAACATCCATCTGTTTTAGCTGTGGCCACTCGACTTCGTCTACATGCTCAACCGCGTTTGGTTGCCTCATCTCCCCTTGGCGTTGATCTCGAGATGGAGGGGGGTACCACAGCGACCCTGGAGCTAGGGACCCTCCGTGAACCCATGAATCACCCAGAGGGCCTCGTCAATCCTGTCCAGGCTGATGATGTCTCAACGAATCCCTCAACCGTGGCTGTTTCTCATCCCTCCTCGGTTCCATCAACCCTGGAACGTTCAGACAATGCACCACTTCCCCCGTCCGAGTGGCCGTTTCGTGTCCCACCACCTCTTTCTCAGTTCCGCTTTGCTAACAACAAGATGAATCCGCGTGGCGCGAAGGAGGCCAGTGGCAGCGGCAGCACTCGGGTGGTGGCTGCGGTTTTCGTGGAGGATGCATCACTGCCGATAGAAGTGGCGCCATTTTGTATCGCACTAGGGCAGCGGTGGTGCGCAGGGAAGCTGATTGAGCGGTTGAAAGAAGAGGTGGCGACCTCCTCCGGGTTACCGCTGAGTGCCTTTACTGGGTATGATGTATTTATCCTCACTGCAGATCCACCGACGAAAATTAATAGGGAGGATCGGACCGTACCTATTTCAAACGGTGACGTGTTGCTTCTCAGCAAAACAGAGCACCCGGTGGACATCGCGGTTACCGGCGCAGGGGGAACTGTGAAGCGCGCCGTCGCGCAGGAGCTGGATCGCATGCGGCAATTAAAAGGCAAGGAGCAGGCGGTGCTTAAGATGGAGATGATGAAGAAGTGTGCACTCATGTAGAGGAGATCTCAGGCAAGATAGTTGTATGTGCGATTACAGGCGTGAGGTGATGATGTGTTAGAGGGATTTTTTCGCCTTTGTTATTGAAGGGCGAGTAGAGTGTGGTGATGCCACTGGTGTAAGGGGGGAATCCCCTCCTTTGAGGAGAGTATCACTGTTGTTTTGAGTATTTCACAAACTTCCCATTTTTATCTCTTTTGCTTCTGTTATTCTGTGTTATGGCTTCTTTTTGATGGCCTGTGGTTCTCGAATACACTCATTCTCCCATTGTCTCTCGTTTTGAAAGGCCTGGGGAGACAGTCCGCGTAGTTTGGATAGCAATATGTCTCTGTAAGCCTTTTTCCCCTTGATTGACATTTTAATTGTATTCACTTCTTTCTCACTTTTCAATATGTTGTGCTTTGTGCTAAGGTTGGGGGAGTAGTTTCAAGCCCATAAAGCAAAATAAATTCATCCTTTCCCCCTCCATTCTTTGCAAACGAAGCGAGCGACCTCACAAAAGTCTCAGAACCGCACATTTCAGCACCTTAGCGCTCGCCAATGACGGCCTCAATTGCCGTAGCCGAGCAGCTACTCGCCGTGTGTGTTGAGAAGATGCGGGACGCTCTGCAGGCGACCCTGGAGGATGCCTTGCCGGAGAGCGAGCTGGGCGCCAGCGCGCCTTCGAACACAGGGGACCTCGTCGCATGGGGTGGGGCTCACGCGAACGACATTCCTGACACGTTAAAGCAACGCCTGGAGTGGGAGCAGGGGGTTGAGCAGCAACGAGTGGGCTCGATCGCCGCCGCGGTGCAACATAGCTTTCAGCAGCTCAAAGCAGCGGTGGTAGAATTGGGTGGGGGGGTCAACGCAAGTGGCGAAGTCATAGATGTGCTGGTGGCGGAGCTGGACTATTCCATTGAGCGGATCTCTTCAGAGAGGAGTAGGTTGGGCAAACTGATGGTGGAATACTATGGCGAGGCCGAGCGTTTGGCTGCAGCGATTGAAGAGGAAATACTGAGCATCAAGGTGCCGTCCTTGAAGTAGAGTTAAGGGAGGGCAGAGCGGGATATCCTCCATCGGACAAAAAGCGATGATGAAAACTTTCGGCTGAATTCTATACATGAGCTGGCTTTGCAGTTCTGGTGTTTTATTGTTTCTGTGCTTCTTTTCCGGCATGCGCATCTAGTGTTGTGCGTCATCCAACTGCGTTTTTCTCCTTTAAAGTATATTCTTGTTACTCATCAAAAGAACAAATAGCATGCCATGTGCATTAGGACAAGCCACATTTTTCGCCGTGGGCGCATGGCTGTACATCCATGGATGGGAGTTGAGTGCTATCCGGTCTCCACCAAAATAATCAACGGCGTTTCTAGGTTTAAGCCCGGGTACAATCACTTACGCACCATTCAGCCCCAGCGACCGATTCGTTCTATTGGTATTACTGGAACTCAGCCCCTTGTTCTCTACAACCGGATGGATCAGATTATCCAAATCGAGAACGCCATCGCGCTGCAACGAGTTGAGCGGCAAATCGAGGTGACGCTTTCACAGCTTTCACTGGGCATTCGCAACGCGGATAACTTTCTGGAAAATCATTTGATGAACAAAGAGGTTCGCCCCTCGGTGCACACGCTATGGTTTCACGATAACGGCCTGCGCGAGCACCAGTACATCCTCTCTACCCTCGCCGCACATCATCTAGTCCCGTTATTTAGCCTGGTAAGCTACGATGTTGAGCGGGGTAAGATGTCCGTCGCACAGGCCGAGGAGGTCTATGAGGAGCTGATGGATTGTTCGTCCGCGCAGCCTAAAATCGTGCAGCGGGAGCTGGCTAATCAAATGATCCGAGTTTACTGCCTCAATGATGACTACCGCAAAGCAATCGAGGTTATTGATGAGATGAAGGCGAAGGGTATCCGGCGAACCTTCGTGTCGTACGCACCGTTGTTTCGCATGATTCGGATGAACATGGATGTCGACAGGCAGGTGGAGCTGCTGCGGCATATGCGCGAAGTCGAGGGTGGCCAGTTCCTGAAGTTCCTGTTTATTGACGTGCCGCGAATGTTCTACATGTTTGGTGTGTTTATTCGTTACAACTGGGTGCTCATTAACGTTTGCTTCATCATGCTCGCAACCACGATGTTTCTCTCCTTGTACAATTTTGGTGTGTTGATACTCTAAAATGTGAATGCCAGAAAAGGGGGGTCGGGCTGGGCTCATGGGGGAGCGGACACGGTACCTAATCTTGGTTCGGCTCATAGGCCTTGGCCCCTGTTGCTTTTGTATATTAATACCGATATTGGAATACATACTATTATTCAATCAATTGAAAGGTTGTTATTTTATTTTTCGAGTAGACTAAATAGGAATAGAAACACAATAAAAGGATTTTTCAAAATGCAAGCAACTATTTTATTTTAAAGTTTGCTCAACATTATCGCATATTTTTTTAAATACCCGCTCTTCATCCTTTTTTGTTGTTGTTATAGATTTGCCTCAGAAAAGCAAGATAGGCAGCTTTTCCACAAACGCATATCCAACACACACATACGACAGGAAGAGCCAAATTTGTGGACTAATAGATTCCCCTTGAAAAATATCAACCTATAAAAATAAGTCTTCAAAGGGAATCTTAATTCGACGTTTTTTAATTTTAATTTTTGCCACTTCCTGAATCTTGGTGTGTTAGTATTTCTTCATCTAAAGGGATCACACAAGGCTCTAGAATTTTGCCTCCAGGGGGATGTCGTCCAAGTCGTCAGTGAAAAGTTCGCTGTCGTTCGTTTCATCTGCGGGGGAGACGCTCGCGTCCAGCTACGGCACCCGTTCTTCCAGCAACCACCGACGCAGGAATGCCGGACTGACGGAGCCACGCGTGGCACCTACGCGGATGACGGCCTTCGAACGCCTCCAGTTGATTCGCAACGCCGTTACGCGGCTTCAGGACGTGCGGGAGCGGGCGCTGCATATGTCGTCGCTCGATCAAGCCGGCGGCAGCGTCGTCGAGGAGTTCTTTGAGCAGCTCTCCCACGCCATCCTTCGGTGGTTTCATAACCACGAAACGGCCGGCACCGCCAAGGATAGCGGTCCAAGGCAGCTGCGCGCCATTCGCGAAGAGGTGTTAAAGATGCAGAAGTTAGCCGAGAAGGCGTTGGATGCGGCCAGCCCGGAGAAGAGCTCCGAGGCCGTGCACGTTTACAAGAACCTTAATCACGGCCTCATTTCGAACGCCCTAGACAGCCTTCGGGAGCTAGAGGAGCTGCTCAGCCACCGGCCGGAGGAGCTGCTTACGCGCGTCAACATGGGCCTTCTCCAAGATCAGGTCGCCGTCCATATCAACGACTTTGACGCCTTCACAAAAGTCCACCTTAAGGCGATGATGCAGGAGATGCTCAATGAGGGCGTCTTCTACAGTGCGCCCGTCATGAGCGAATCCTCGCAGCGCGCCAGTTCGGCGGGGATCTTCTCTGCGGTGCTACTCGACGTCGTCGTGGGCGTCCGCCCTGCTAGCAGCGCGCGAATGGTGCTGGAACACGCGAAGGTGAACATCCAAAAGGTAGAAAATCGCATCCTAGTCGCGAATAAGGCCCTAGGGGGTTTGCAACCAAGCAGTAGCAGCTTCGATATCCGAGCAGCCACGAACAAGGAAAGCCAGCTCCGAGCGTACACCGTGATGCTCGACAGCATTAGGTCCGCCCTCAATGAGCTCAACCAGCTACAGAGCCGCTGGGAGGGGGAGGAGGACGGCATTTTCAACGCCGCCGCCTCCGGGGATTACGACCTCGACGTCCTGATGCAGACGAAGTCTTTGAAAGAGACGGAGATCGTCGAGGAGGCGCGGCGTATTCACGACGCCATCCACCACACCTGCTTGCCCTTTGCCTCGCCGCAGTACCACCGGCGCTGCGCGGAGACGTATGGCCAGCCCTGCCACGTTCGCATCGCCCTGCACTTCACCGCGAAGTCGCAGCCCTCGCTGAAGCTCTTCACGATGAAACCGCAGTTCGCGTCTCTGATGGCGAAGCTCCACATCCCGGCGGAGGCGCACCGGCGCTACGCCTACCTCGCGCCCAGCAAGGATGAGCTCTGGCTGTCGTTGGGGGAGTTTCCGGAGATGGTGAAGGGCGCGCGGTGTGCGCTGCGCGACGTGCACCCCCATCTCGACCACACCCGGGCGCTGGAGGAACAAAAAGAGGTGGGGGGCTACTTTGTGATGCGCGGGAATGAGCGTATTCTTCGGCTGCTCCTCATGCAGCGGAGCAACGTCGCGATCAACATCGAGCGCGAGCGGTTTGAACATCAGGGGCCGAACTTTTTGCCGAAGGCCGTGCTGATTCGAAGCAAGCGGCCCAGTGGGATCACAACTCAGAACTACTTTTATTATACTTCTGTCGGCGAGATGGTGTTTAGCTTTGCGCGGAAGGTTATTTGGCATATCCCCCTTCCCTTACTCCTGTTCTCGACCAGCACCCAAAGCGTCTCTTCACTGGAGCTTTACCGTCTGTTGACGATCGGCATGCCGGAGGGTAACCACCTCGCGCGGGCCGAGGTCTTAATTCAGCAACACCTTAAAAAGTCCTACAGTAGTTTTACGAATTACCTTGACTTTATGAGCGTGCTTGGACGGATGTACCGCGAGTATCACCAAAACTCCAACGCCTTTCACTTTCTCCCGCAGTTCGCGCGTGGGGGGGAGCAGCCGCAGCACGACGCCTGGTATGGTATGTTTCTCCTTAGACGGCATTTGCTCCCGCATCTCAACAACGACGTCGCGACGCCGGACCTCTCCCCAGACGCCGACAGCGAGGCGCTACGGGATTGGCTGCCGCGCGAGCTGCTCGACGAGCTCGACCGCAAGTTTGACGCGCTAATCGCGATCACGCGGCAGCTCTACCTCTTCATCGACGGGCAGCTCGCCCACCAGGGCAACGACACCCCGGCCTACCAGGAGCTCTTTACCGTTTCGCAGGTGCTCATGGGCGCCTTCGAGGTCTGCCTGAACCGCTTTTTCCGGGTCTTCTCGCTTCACTTCGGCCGCCACATGCCGGTGAGTTTGCTTCGGACGGTGCTCGGCGGGCTTGGCGGGTTGAAGGCGGGCGAGGCGGCCGAGGTGATGCGGCGGCTGCGGGAGTACGCGGCGTACTCCGCCCGCCACAGCGCCGCCGATCCGCTGGAGCCGCTCCACCGCTTCCTTGTCACCGGCAACCTCAACCTCGATCGCGAGGAAGACTTTTATTACCCCCAAACGAGCGGCTGGGTGGTGGCGGCGGAACACCTCAACTTCTACCGCTTTTTCGAGCAGCTCCGCTGTGTGCACCGCGGCCGCACCATCGCCGGCATGCGCTCCAGCGAGGTCCGGAAGTACTCCTGCGAGTCTTTCGGCTTTATTTGCATGGTGCACAGCCCCGACGGGGAGGACTGCGGGGTGCTCAACCATCTCAGCATCTCGACCATCATGTCGGACGCCTTTGACGCCTCCGCGCAGTCCGCGCCGCGGCGGCAGATCGACGGGTGGGTGGCGGAGGTCCTCCCGACCCTGCGCCGCCGCCGTGCGGGCGCGTCGCTGCTCGATCAGCTCGTGGCGACGGTCCCCGTGTGGGTGGAGGGGGAGCTGCGGGGGTACGTCGCCGCCGACGAGGCGAGGGGTGCCGCCGAGGAGCTGCGTCGCCGCAAAGCCATCACGCAGCGCGCGCTCGTCGACGCGAACGGCCTCATGCGGCGCCGGGAGGTGTCCGTGTTGCACACCCTGGAGGTGGTATACGTGGCGCCCGGGGAGAAGGATCCCGCGGGGCTTTTCCTCTTCTACGGCAGTGGGCGCCTCATGCGGCCGGTTCAGCGCATTGAGACGGTCTCCCCCTCATCCACGGCGTCGCAGGAACGGACGTTAGCCTTTCCCCTCGTTTACGTTGGCATGTGGGAGCAAACGTGGTTGGATATCGCCAGCGTCCCGAGCGATCCCCTCGATGCTGTTACTCAGCTCAATCGTAAGTTCACCTACATGGAGCAGTCCGGGAGCAACATCGTCTCGTTCACCAGTGCGACGATTCCTTTTTTCGAGTACAACTGCTCGCCGCGGAATCTGTTTCAGTGCGGTCTCAGTAAGCAGACGGCGGGGACGCAGTTGCAGGCCCTGGGCTGGCGGAAGGAGGCGAAGCTGTTTCGCATGTATAGCCCCCAGCGCTACCTCTCGAGGACGCTTCCCATGGATTACTACCACCTCGACGACGTGAACCTCGGAGTGAACGCGGTGGTGGCGATTTTGGCGTACACCGGCTACGACATGGACGATGCGGTGATTCTGAACAGCACCGCCTCCCAGCGAGGGATGCTGAACGCGGGGGTTACGATCGCCAAGATCGTCAACGCCTCCGGCCGCGGCGAGAAAGACGACGTCTTTGTCTTTCACAATCTCGTCAACGCTGAGACCAGGGAGCTGTTTAGCACGGAGTTGCGGCCGAATGGGCTGCCCTTGCCGCGCGCGAACCCCGACGCGCCGGAGTTCGACTGGACGGACCACAGCTACCCCTCCCTGAGCGACCACACGCCGGTGTACTGCTGTGCGAAGCGGGTGGGGCAGCTCAACCCCCTTACGAACCGCGTCGAGTATGTCTACACGCAGCACCAGGCGACGAAGTGGCAGCACTTCGACCGCGGCGAGCGGGCGTGGGTGCATCAGGTGATCCCGCTCGCCTACGACGGGCCGGATCCGGTGAGCGCGCTGATGATCTTCCGCATCCCGCGCCCGCCCGCGGTGGGCGACAAGTTTGCCTCCCGCCACGGGCAAAAAGGGACGCTGCCGCTGCAGATCCGCGACCACGACCTCCCCTTCTCCACCCGCACCGGCATCACGCCGGATGTGATCATCAACCCCCACGCCTTCCCCTCCCGGATGACGGTGGGGATGGTGCTGGAGGGGATGACGGCGAAGCTCGCCGCGCTGGAGGGGCGGTTCATCGACAACAGCCCCTGGGCGGTCGTCGACGAGCGGCCGCGGGTCGCGGAGGTCATCGGGGAGGCGCTCGCGAAGGCGGGGTTCAGCCGCCACGGCCGGGAGCCCCTGATCGATGGGATCAGCGGGGAGGAGATGGAGGCGGAGGTCTTCGTCGGCCTCTCCGGCTACCAGCGGCTGCGGCATATGGTGAACGACAAGTGGCAGGCCCGCGCCCGCACCGACGCGCACACCCACCGCGCCGTCACGAAAACCGGGCAGCCCGTGAAGGGGCGGAAGCGGCATGGCGGGGTGCGGGTGGGGGAGATGGAGCGCGACGGGCTCCTCTCCCACGGCGTCAGCGAGGTCGTGGTGGACCGCCTGATGCACGTCTCGGACAAGACCCGCGCCTTCATCTGCGTCCAGTGCGGCGGCCTCCTCTCCATCTACGAGCGCTACGCGTCGGAGTACGCGACGTGGAAGACGTGCCGGTTCTGCGGCGCGGGCGCCGACGAGGGGTCGGACCGCGTGGCGATGGTGGAGATCCCGCAGGTGCTGCGGCTGTGGGCGTCGGAGCTCACCAGCATCGGGATTCGCGTCGTCCTCAAAACTTCGTAGGAGGGGGGGGAGGGAAAATGGAAAAGGCCTCTCCACGCCGGACGGGGCGAGGTTGCAGCGGTAAGCAACCCCTCCCTTCCTCTTTCTCTTCATCCTCTCTGGATCGTGTTATACTACAGTCTCCCTTGCTGATGGATGTGGTGTGGTGAGATTGGGGGAGAGAAGGGGGAAAGGGGGTGGGGGAGTTATTATATTGAAAAGTGAGTTCACAGCAAGGGAAATTTTCGGGCGCTATTTTTCCCGCTCGTCGTTATGGCTGTTGAGGTTGCTTGTGTGATTTGTGCGTTGTAAACTTACATTCATTACAGAAAGAGAAAGAGACGCGTGGTACGGTTTAATCTTTCGTATTTTGTTGGGTGGTTGATGTCTTTTTTTAGGGGCTAGGATCACGGGGCTCGTGAAGGTTCTGTTTCTGGTGGGGGCATTTATGTGCTTTCTCTCCGTACAACGTTGTGCGTGCGTGTAGGAGGTATCAAAAGGAAAGTACTCTAGTGTTTCGCCTGTTTGTTTACTTAAGTACTTCTGATGCTTAATCAGTCTAAATAATAACACCTTTAACCTCAATCGAATTAAAAACAATTTTCAGATAAAAGAAAAAAATTAAGAGGATGGGGGTACATGATGCAATTTGAATGCCATTTCTTATCTTTTACGTTTAATGCATTGTGCAGTTTACTGCGGCTATATATATATATATGATTAGTCAAATTTGTTGGCTTGTATGTTGGTTATCAAGTCTGGATCGTAGCTACAACTTATTTATCTTTTCTTTGAATGTCTTTTTCTTTAATTCAACAATATCACCTACCCACATACAACTATACATTTAGCTGCGTCTGTTGAAGGAAGGGGGAAGAGACCAAACGCTTTCTTGAGAAGAAACCAATAGTTTCCTTTATATTGAAGCAATTTCTACTTTAAAGCTGTCTGCTTGCATTTTTTTCCGCAAATATCTCCATATTTCCCAAGTCGAACTCACATCATTAGAGTAAAACAATAGGCTTGGTGTGCAACCCTTTCCTGGCGTTATTACCTAACCCGTTCTCACTTGTATGCTTATGTCGATATTAAGCAACATAGAACTAATTTTTTAATTTATCATCATCTTTGTAGTATAATCTTGCACATTTCAAAGGCAGGGCAAGATTATACCACATACACACCCATATCTATATCTCTCTCTATAGTTATAAGTATTTGAGGTGGGTTTTCATGCTCACAAGAAGGCGAAATCGTGTTGCTCATGATGGCGCTGCTCGCACTAATGCCATATCTGACGGTAATGCACTTTCCACTGCCGCAAATCCAACGTCAACGATACCGCTTGTGAGTAGTCTTCGAGGCGATAAGAAAGATGTAAGCGCTGTTTTAGATGACCTGATGAGGGCCTTTGCACCCAACGTGTTGCCGTGTTTGTTTCCTGAGCCCAACTATGAGGATACACTTGACAAAAGTACAGGAGATGCCGCCGTGGTTGAGTCCGGCATCTCCTCCCGAGTTCCCATACGTCTCTCGCGCGCGATTTTACTTATGTATCTTCACACCTGCGGCGGCCCGCCCGACTTTCCGCGTATCAGCCCATGCGCTACATTGGAGTGCTGGATCGACCCGCTGGTCGCGCAGGGCACTCCGGCAGTGGGCAGCGGTGGGAGTGAGGGGATCGCCGAGATGTTGGAGCGTCAGTACCGCTCAGTTTTGAGGAGTAATATCCCCATTTCGCGTGTTGTCGAGGCGAACCTCGAGGCCGCGAGCATGATGCTTGGCAAGGCCCGCAATCTCGCGCGGGATGGGCGAGTTCTCGTGCACTACAACGGCCACGGCATGCCTCGGGCGACTGAGCTCGGCGAGGTATGGGTCTTTGATCGTGATCACACCCATTATGTACCGTTCAATATCATGGATATGGCGGATTTGATTGGGACTCCGAGCCTCTACATTTTTGACTGCAACGCCGCGGGGGCGATTCTTCGGCACTGGCAAAAGAACGGCCTGCATACCAAGCGGCCTCACGACTTGTTCATCTGCGCCTGTGATGCGCACGAGACGCTACCGCTCAACCCCATCCTCCCGGCCGACATGCTCACCGCGTGCTTGACGACGCCGTTGAAGATGGCGTTGTGGTGGTATATCGGCTACTCGCACTGCAAGATGCTCCTACCGCAGGTCACCGAGGAGATGATTCGAAACCTGCCAGGGGACCTCAACGACCGCAAGACTCCGCGTGGCGACCTCAACTGGGTGCTTAACGCGATCACCACGACCATCGCGTGGTGCGTGCTGCCCCCCTCGCAGTTTCACTACCTCTTTCGCCACGATCTGGGCACGAAGGCGATCTTCCGCAACGCGATCCTGGCGGATCGCCTGATGCGGGAAACGGGCGTCACCCCCCTTACCTACCCCCCGCTCGCGGAGGAGACGCACCTGCACCCGATGTGGGAGCTCTGGGATTACGTCCTCGAGCGCACGATCAGCCAGCTTCCGGAGCTGATGAGCGCCGCGGCGGACCCCGACGCGGCCGCGCGGGGCGTCGGCTACAAGGAGTCCTCCTTCTTTGACGATCAGCTCACCGCCTTTGAGGTGTGGGTGCACTGCGGGGATACGACGCAGACCCCACCCCAGCTCCCGTGTGTGCTCTTCGCCCTCACTCAAGGGGTGCACCGCGTGCGCGCCTTTACGTTGCTCGCAAAGTATCTCGATACCGGGCTCGCGGCAGGGCGGCTCGCCACCCTGTGTGGGATCCTCCCCTACCTCAGCAAACTCACCGCGCAGGCGCCGGAGGTGTTGCTGATCGTGACGGTGGTTTGGATGCAGGTGATTCGCTCCGACCCGATCGAGGGGTGCGAGGAGATCAGCCGGAGCAAGACGGAGCGCTACTTCACCAACCTCCTCCGCCTCGACGAGGCGACCACGACGATTGAGGTGGTGGAGTACGGAGGGGGCGGAGGGGGGGGGGGGAATACGCCGCCGACGCGGATGCGGCCGCGCTGCCACGCTCGCCCTCTCTTCCTCCTTCCCCTCCTTCCCCTCCCGTGGGGGGAGCGGGGGGGGGGGTTCGTTATTACCTCGTAAACGACGTCAGCCTGCCGCGTTCGAAGAGCATGGCGTGCTACATCCTCTACGAATACCAGCTCCGTGGGGAGGCGCAGTGCCTCTCGTGCTGGAATCACCAGCTGCTGAACGCCGCCTTTCCGTGTTTGAGCTCCGACGACGCGGAGCTGCGGTCGTGGGCGTGTTTGGCGCTTTCCATGTTGTTTCGCGGGCTGCGGCATGCGAAGAACTTCGCCTCGCGGGAGTGTGCCTCACGGCTCGATCTCTTTACCCGTCTGCTGCACGACCGCTCGCCCGTGGTGCGGAGTTCCTCCGTTACGCTGCTAACGAGCGTGATTGGGGTGCGCATGGACCTCCTCCCGCCCGATCAGCAGGTGCGGCGGTTGCAGATGGAGAAGTCGGTCTTTATTAAACTCCGCCAGATCCTCTTCGACGCGAGTATGAGTGTGCGGCATGAGCTGATCTTCTTTGCCTGTCAGGTGATCTACGTCTACCGCGAGGTGCTCCCGCGGCTGTCCGCCCCGGGGGTCGACCCCGTCACGATCCCGCGGATCGACGAGTACATCCGCGCGGTCGAATCGGCCGGGGACCCCCTGCGTTGGGCCCTAGAGGAGCCCGGGGTTCAGGTCCACTCCCTGCTCAACCTCAACCGCCCCACCCTCAACGCCATCTTCGACGACGACCTCGTCTTCCAGACGGGCGTCCTCGTCGCGGACGACCCGGAGCCGACCCCGGCCGCGTTCGACCCCGCCCGGCTCGTCCCGGAGGCGCTGGAGATCCTCCGCGGGCTCCTCCACGACGCCGCCGTGATGCTCGGGATGCTGCGCTGCAACTGCGATGCCGCGAAGGTCAACGAGGCGGTCGCGCGGCTCGCCGGCGGGGAGGCCCCGGCGTCCTCCCGCTTCGCCGCCGAGGCGCTCCGGACGATGTCGCACCTCCCTTCCCTTTCGTCGTCCTATTACTT